TGACTTAAGTTATTTAACAAATTATTATAACTCATCTGGCAATAAATGATACCATGCCCAGGTAGTGTCTGTCCTCAATTCACCCTTCATGGTATTGTAGTAGGGATGGGGGCTGAGGGCCAAGGGAGGAGGGAAGTTTACTTCATGCGACTGCACTGGAAATAAGAAATACCAAGGTGATTTGGGCTGATCTTGGAGGCTCTGTGGGAGACTAGGGCCTTCAGCTCAGCTGGAGGGAATCTGGAGAGGCAAAGAGAGGGAAGAATATCACATCAAAAGACACACAGATTTTCAGGGGTAGGAAGCTGAGTGTGTTATGATCAAGAGAAGGTAAGAGATTTGACTTTTCTAAAATAAGGGGGCATTCTACTTCCATATTTCTAAAGTGATAAGGTTTTAATTATAATGAGCATCCTTCCCATAAAGGTTTGGTAACTAGAATTAATATTCTTACAAAGAGAAAATGCTAAATTGTTAACATATTATCTATATTTTGTCTTTGTGATGTGATGCCTCTAATGATACCATCATTGTTTAGGATCCTGGATGATCGATACAAAGTGCCCTAATAAAAGTCAGAAGAAAATCATAAATGTTTCAGCAGATGAAGCTAGGGATCACTAGATGGGAGTGTGGTCATCACAGCATGGTTTGCAATAGCAAAATTTGGAAACAATCTTCTTGTTCCATAATAAGCGGCTGATTTTCATTTTAAAAACATGTCCCTGTCTCCTTCCATCACTCCCATTCCACTCCCCCAACTTTTTCAATAGAAAGTATCTGGAAAGATATATAATAGAAAAGGGTCTAGTCGTTAGCACTTATTCGTCTTCAAATGAGGAATTTTGGGTGTTTCAAAACTGGTTTCTTTCAGCTTATCTGCGGTTCCTGATTTTTCTATCATGAACACGAATTGCTTTACAATGAAAAAAATCATTTTACAGAAAAAGAGACATCAGTTTAGGAAAGAGTGAGTCAAGGATACCTAGAGTACATCTCTGAGGTCAACGTAATGCAGGACTGTCACCATCTTTTCCCACAAAATATCCTTTGGTGCCACTGTCAGAATTTCGAGCTAGCTAGATTGAATGAGTCTGACTCAGCATGGCATTTCTTTTTGCTCTTATGCTAATGCTTAAAAGCTTGAAACTCTGCACTCTATTCAATCCATTTCATCAAATATTTATCGAGCACCTACTATGTGCCAAGCATTAAGGATACAAGATTAACAAGACATAGTTCTATTGCAATTTAAGTCAATAAGTGCCTGCAGAGAAATCTGTATTTCTTTGAAAGTCCCAGATGGTTGTTCTGATGATATTTTTCAGGGCAAAAAAAAAAAAAAAAAAAAATCATAAGCAATTCTCATATAAAACAACATCCATGAAAGTTCATACTAAAAAGAATCTATTCATGTTTTCACTGTTTTAACTCATGTAATGTTTTAAACGCAATATAGAATTATGCTGAATTGTTATTTAAAAATACCCACATATTTCTGGCTCTTCACTGTGATACCAGCACTATTCTCCTCTTGAATCAATACCCTTTCAATTCTTTTAGTAGAAATTATTTCAGTCTGTTTAGTCTCTGAGCCAAATCTCTTAATTTGCCTTTGAGACCCTGACTGGAGACTCCAGTTCCCACATGAGGAAAAATTGCTTTTAAAGGCTAAATTAGGCAGTATGTTTCAAACTAAAGTTGCTAAGCCCTGGGTAACCAACAATTAAGCAATTAACAAGCTAAAAATGTTTAAAGTTAGACTTAGTGAATCTGAACAATTGTATTCCATACATTATATACTACAATTAATTTTTATGAATTAAAATTTCAATCTAGTTAAGCAGTATACGTCTTTATCTTTGTTTTCCATTAATTATTATTTCTATATCCAGAAGGTTTTTGGTTCCTTTTTTTGTATGAACATTCTCTTATCATGGACTTTACATGAATCAGAGTGTAAAGGAACATGGAGATCATCTTGTACCACTATTTTATTTTGTGGAAGAGAAAATTTAAGCCCAGAAATAAAGTCACTTGCAGGAGTATAAATTGCTTTGCATAGAGCCTTATGAAATATAGGTACAGGATAACTGGGAGCTATTGCTTGGCCCTCAGATTCCTAGTCCATTACTTTTACTTGCCCCAGATATTTCTCCATAATGCTTAGTTAAGCCATCTTTAGACTTGTACGCTGCTCAAGACACTATGCATACTGGTTTTTTCATGGTATTTAATGGGTCAATTTACACAGTTAACAAATATTTATTGAGCCCCTACTAAGTGCCAGATACTGGTCTTGGCATTAATTTAAACGTAAATGGAAATAATTAAATGGTGAGTATTATTTTAAACCCATATAAATGAGCACTTTCTGGCTAGTCCTGTGTGTATGTGTGTGTGTGTATGGAGAGAGAGAGAGAAGGAGAGAGATGTTTGCCTCTCTTCTTTCCTGTGTAAAATCTGCTCAATTTTCTATGTTAACTGCCATTATATGCCAAACATGTACAATTAAAATAAGCTTGTTTCTGAGAAGCATGTCTACACTAAGTCTCCTGGGGTTTACTTTCTGATGAAATGCTAAATTTCCCCTTATAAAACAAGTTCTTTATTTCATAATTTTGAATAGGATGATACTTTCACAAACCCTTCATCTTATTGGATTTAGGGCATTAAACATTTCAGCATAATAATATTTTCCCTGGGCCTGCAACATTTTAATTTTATTGTTAAGTAAAAATCTTTCATTAATTTTAAGCTTTGCTTTCAGAATGAAATGAAATAGTACATGTAATGCTGGTAGGTATGCCAGACCCAGAAATACTACTTTCCTTGTTTTTTTGGGTTTTTTTGGGGGGGAAGATTAGCCCTGAGCTAACTGCCGCCAATCCTCCTCTTTTTGCTGAGGAAGACTGGCCCTGAGCTAACATCCGTGCCCATCTTCCTCTACTTTATGTGTGGGACGCCTACCACAGCATGTCGTGCTAAGCGGTGCCATGTCTGCACCTAGGAACCGAACCAGTGACCCAGGGCCTCCGAAGCGCAGCATGCGAACTTAACCGCTGCACCACCCAGGCCGGCCCCTACTTTCCTTGTTTAACTTATCTGTCTCCATTGTAAAACTGACAGTCAATTTTTAGTAACTACTGATTTTTAGAATTTTTTTCTGTTCTTTTTTCACTCATGCAGCATTTTGGTCCTATTTGCTCGCTCTCTCTTTTTATAGGTCTCCCCTGGCTTCTCTTTTCAGTTGTTACTTGACATTACAGTCTTGCTGTCAATGAATCTCACCAGATTGCTATCCTATAGCCATCTGCTCTGTCCTGCTCTGTCAGTGAAAACTGTTGCTCTTTGCCTAGTGGAGACGAAAACTCTGAGGATCTTTCGCTCCTGCCTCTCTCAGGGATGGGTGGAACAAGACAAGAGATACAGACTTTTAGGTTATACATTTAGGCTTTCTCCCAAATTTCCCAAAGACTAACACTCCAAACTCCATTTAGAGGCAAACAGCAAAGAAAGTTGTAGAACCTCAAAAAACAAAAAAGAGAGAGAATTTGGATAGTTATCTTTTTCAGCCGTGGACCTAAGGACGAATATTATCAAGTTAGTATGGTAATATATAAGTAGCTCCTGAACTTTTTTGCGGAGAGAGAGAGCTTAAAAATTGCTTGTAGGTACTGATATTAAAACGTCACAAACATAAAGATTCCATGATGCTTTCAAAATAATCATATATACAAAACAGACAAACATCTAAAGTTTTAAATCCACTTCATCGGTGTGTTATAAAATAGTATTGTGGATGCTCAAACTAATGCCAAACTAGCTGAGTTCAAAGGTACACCTGTTGATACTGTACTAACCAGTATTTCCACACCTTAATTTTAGGTCACACATAACACTAACATACCAATAAATAGGAACCATAACAGTATGTGTCAAAAATGTAGGAGGAAGGCCACAGCTAAACTTTATAGAAAAATCTGCCACTATGCAATTAAGCACCCTACTAAAACAATTTCAGCTATTTCTCTATTTATATTCCTATGTACATTGAACGTAGAGCCAAATAAATGAATGAGTTCATAGGAGGGTATAAAGGTCATTTTAAGTCCTGGTTTCGGGTGTGTCGATGTTTGTCATAACAGCAGACAGAAGGATGAAACAGAAAGTTGTAAATACCATAAAAGAAAAAAATACTATTTAAAAAATTTTTCTTAAAAGCAACGGCGAAAAACACCATCTCCATAGAGTCTGCGTTCTCACCTTCCGAATAGACGTTGAGCTTGTAAGCAAACCCACAGCAGAAGCAAGCCCTCTCCGGGAAATCACAGTGTCTTTCCAAACAAGGACAGCGGGGTTCTATCTATTGTGTCTGCTTTCCCTCTCATTGGGGAACTGGTTTGCCTTCCGACAGCAACCCAGGAAGGGGTGGCGCGCCCCAAATTAGCAAGGCTCTGCCAAATACCAGAGGCTCTTCTTCGGAAGAGGGAGGCTCCTCCTTTGGACGTGGGGCGCCCCTACCAGAACGCGCGCTTACAGAAACGGAAACCACTAGCTGCGCTGAAGTGACTCAAGTGATGAAATCAAGACTACATGGGAAGGAAGCTCACCCAAGAGCTCACGAACCTAACTGGTGACAGAAGCTGCTGAACCCTGCTGGAGGAAACTACATGAGCCGACAGCTGCTGCGGTCATGAGGTGGTCCTCGGCGGCACTGGGCCCCCCAGTCCCCGGGCAGCGCTCCCCTTCATTTTGGCGAACCGTAGAGGAAGGGCAGTGTGGGAGGGAAATCTAGACCTTCTGGCTCCCCAAGGACCCAGACTGTGTGCTGGTTACACGGTGACCCCGGCCACCAGGTCAGAGAAGGACTCGTGAAATGTAGACTGGCCGAGGAACGCCTCGCGCGAACACCCGGCGGCGCCGACCGCGGAGAGAGCAGGCGCGGCGGCCGCGCCGGCCCGGACGGCGCCCCCGCCCGCGCGGTCCCCGGTCCTCACCTGGAGCGCTCAGGTAGGGCTTGGGCGGGGCAGGCGGCCGGCGCGCAGGCGCGGCTCGGGGGCCTCGCCCCTGCCGACGTCGCAGGCTGGAGCTCACCTGGGAGACTCTGAGAGGAAGCGGAGCCTCGCTTCGGCCTCTCCTGGCAACGCGGGAGGCCCAGGAGGCGGTGGCGGAGGAGGAGCTGGACTGAGCGGCAACTGTAGCGACAGCAACCGGAGCCGCCGCCGCCACCACCTGCACCTGGCGCTCGGCCACGTCCAGCGCCGCCCGGCCGCCACTTCCCGCCGTCCTGCCTGCCCCCCCGCCAGGTAAGCCGGCGGCCGGCGCTCGGGCCGGGGCTGGGGCCGGCAGCCCCTGGGCGGCGTCGGAGGGGGTGGCAGGACGGATGCGGAGGTTCACGTGGTGGCGGGAGGGAGACGGTCTGGGGGCTGGTTAGATGGGCTCCAGAGCAGCGTTTCGGTTGCCCCGCAGGAGAAGCCGAAGGGGGCGCCCGAGGCCGGGGGATGGGGGTACCCCGGGGGTAGCCCTGTCGCCCGCGGTGGCCCCTGTCAGCCTCTGTAGGGAGGCTCCAGAAGGGCCAGACCCGGGCCGAAGTCCTGGTGCCCCCGAGCTTGTCCCTGGGAGGGTGGCAGAGTGGGGGGTCGGAGGGGGCTGGGCCGGGCGCGAGGCGGCCGCGCTTCCACTCGGGCTAACAGGTTGCCAGGCTCCTCCGGCCCGTGTGCCTAGGGGGCGCAGCCCGCGACGGGGGAGGGCATGGCTTTGGCAGGCAACTTTCCCAGGCGGACCCCAGACAGTCCCAGGCTGGAAGCTGCGGCTGCCCGAGCCGTTTCAATGGTTTCCGAGCGGTTTGGAAAGCGCTCTGTGGTCGGGACGCGGACAGCTCTCGCTCGCTCGCTCTCTGGTCTCTACACTTTTCCGGGGGCGCTTCCTAAGCCAGAGCTGCGCCCACTTTCTGGTTTAATCGAAAACAGTTATTTTTTTCGTGGCAGGAGGAAATCCAACTGCCACTCACCAACCGCACTCCATCTGGTTAAAGGACCTGTTGACTTAACGACCTGTGTATCGCGGCTATGGTTTGCCTGTGGCATATGACTCAAAGGTTCAAAAAAACTTAGTTTCAGGATCCTGCCACGTCTGAACCTGGGTGTGCCAGGCCCAAATTCCTTTCCTTGCCTAATTAGGCTTTTCTGAAGCCGAAGAATTGAGGATGAAACTGGTGCTTACCTTGGACTTTTATTTCTTTCTCTCTTCAAACTCATCAAACCCATGGAGTCATCAATTTTTCTGACTTTTAGAACGTTATTAAGCTAACATAACTTGCTATAGAAGTTATACTACATAATGAAGACATTTAGACTCAAATTCTATTGTTGAAAAATCGGAAAGTTGCTACGTTTTAATTTGAGAATTTCTGATTGTGGGAAAATCTTTTGCTTCTGTTACCGTACAAATTTTTCTTTGAGTTTGTGGCTAAAATACGTAAGGTTAAAGTCATACCCTACGTTTAGATTTCTTTACATTTAACTTTTACTTTTACTCTCTGAGTTTAGCATACCTACTAGTTTAAACATACTGAGTGATTTATTTGTACCAACTGTCTTGCTTTTATATTGCTTTAACTAGCGTTTTTATATAGAAATTTCTAATACGTGGCAATTCCACTGACTAGATTTGTTTAGTTCTACTTTTGCTAATTTTTAAAAATACATTTTAAATGGCACCCTTAACATAAAATGCCTTAAGCAACACATGTAGTTTTTTTTTTTTTTAAGTGCAGGTAAAGCTAAAAAATCAACCACAGCATAATAGGACATAATTATTAATGATATTTTCAATCAGTGCTTTCTGCTTTTCTCAAGAGTTTCACCTGCCCTCTTAATCTTGTCTCCGTACAGAGTAATAAAATGTGCTAAATACTATTTAAAAATTAAATGTAGGTGTTGCTCCCTGAGTTTAGAGTATTAATTAAATCTTCATTGATTATTGGGCCAAATGTTATTAGACACCTTTCCTCTAACTCTAGGGAGAAATGTAACGTGTTTACCTTAGAGTAACAGTGTGCCTCAGTTAAAATTTCCTGTAAAACAGGAAAAATAATGCTTCCCTTGACTAAGGTAATGAGGCCTACAAACAAATCAGGCATCTCCTCTAGCCCTAGCCTTCTCAGGCTCGCCTCCTCACTTTGGATATCGAGCCAACCCTTTCAGTTTGTGATAAACTGAAGCTGAGAGAGGTATTCTAACGTCTGTTCACCCGGCAAGTTAGTGCTAGACATGGCAATATTATTCCAGTGGCTTGACTCAAGGCTCATGTTATCTTTACTTTTCACCACCTACATTCTCACTTACCATAAGATGTTTATATTTTTGTCTTTGATAGAGTTTGCAAGGCCTTTGTAATCACAAAACAGTCAATTGTTCTTTGTCCAGCTCTGATTTACCCTTTTTTTCTTCTCGTCCAGTTGATGCTTGATCCAAGGGAGACTGAGCGAGGTCATCATTCTTTTCCTCTCATTGTGGATCGCATGTGTATTGAAGATGCCATGTGGATTGAGATTTTTTAATCCTTTCTTGGCATTTCAGAGCCACAGTTAATTTTTGGAGTCGATATGGACAACATAATTTAGTCTTCTGATATTTTATTGTACTGGCTTAAAATATATTTTATGAGGCGGGGACCCAGGGTCATCCCTCCATTTGCAACAGTCTAGATTTTTGGTTGGCAAGCATACTTCCATATCAGTGTTTTTAAACTTTATTTGGACTGCAATCCTCAGTAAGAAATGCATTCTATGCCTCAACGCAGTACATTCTAATGTGTGTGTGTGTAAATGAAACAAGTTTCACAAAATAATACTTAACCTTACAACCTGGGTGTTCTCCATTATTTTATTTAAAAAAATATTGGTCTCAATGCACTGGATTGATTTTATGACCACAAATGGGCTGGAACCTACAAAGAAAATAGCAGTATCCTATTGAATTTACATTTTTAAGGCTTTTTCTACCAGCTTACTCTTTCATACACATATACACACACACACGCACTCCCAAGAAAGAAAGTCAAACTACATTTTTTAATATATAAAGTTATATTGTAATCCTTATTAAACGTTTATTGGAGGGCTTGAGACTCTAGGACCTTGTGCTAGACTACATCTCTCACACATCGGGAAATGCATGGAACCTCATTGTACTTTATTGCATTTTAAACGAGTTCTCAGCATATTGTAGTATGTTTGGGGGCAGGAAAAACTGGAAAGGTTTTTCTGAGGGGATTTTGGTGGTAACAATTATCAAGTGAAAGTTTGAGAGAGAAAAATAATTCTATTTGGCTAAATTCTAAATTCTAAATTTTGTGGCTGAGTTATAATGCTGAGTAGAGTCTGAAAAAAATGATTAAATATAGGCCAGTTTATTATTTGGTTTGTCATCTGTTAATTTATGTTTTTTCCTTTTGATATGAAACAGATATGAGAGATGAATTGTAGGAGTCATACCCCCTTGCCCAAAAGAAGACTAGACTGGGAGATTGAGAGATTAGATTAGAACCCTAAATGACCTGTAGGGGTGTAGGCTTGGAAGCTCTGATTGGATGGTTGAACCTTCTATGGAAACTTTTAATTTTAACCTGCATTCCCATTCCTGGTAGAAGGATTTTTTCTCCAAAAAAAGAGGAATGTGTGTGTGTTTAATAGTTTGGAAATGATCAATGCCCAAGTCATCTTCAAACATACTCAGTTCTCTGGTCCATAAAGTGTAAAAATGCATCTGGTATGACGGATCTTTTATTGTTATAAAGTATGATTGAGAAGGAATTATTGTCAATTACCTAATTATGCATCTATTTAGTATCAAAATAATTAGTTTTATATAATTTGGGTAATTTTAACGCAATTAATGTACTGCCAATAGCAACATTGAATTCAGATCAATGCCCCTGATGGTAAGAGACCAAAGTGCATTAACTTAGGGCAAAGCAAAGACAAGTAGGATTCCGAATTCTAGGTCGTTAGTGACTATTGACAATTAGATGAATTCTCCTTGAGTTGTTCTCTGAGTTGGCCTCATATTTTTGGCACTAAATAGAGCGTATTTCCGTGAGTACACCTTTTCCCCATAATTGTTTCCGTTTCGGTGTCCAAACTAGTTTGCTCATCTATCCTATTGCCTGCTGGACATCTTTAAGATGTCATAATTACCTGAGATTATAGCTGTGTGAACCAAAACCTTCATGCCATCAAAACAAAACACAACAGAACCTATTTCACTTCCTGTATTCTATTTATAGGTATTAGTACATTTACCATTTCTTATCCACAATTCCAAAACCAAAAAATCTCTGAAAACCAAAATTTTGGGTTTTGGTAACTCATTTGTCAGAAAAACTTAATGCATTTCCTGCAAAACCTGAGTGAACTGTCAGGAAGCCATTTATCATCTATCCCACTTGGTGGGATGTGCCGTGCTGCAGAAATAGTTCTGTGTTTGATTACATGGTACTGTCCTATGCCCTGCTGGGGGTGCACTGTTACACTGGGTATGTAAACCATATCACCCTTCTAACATCCAAAATATCCTGAATTTTGAAAAACGTTTGGCTCTAGGGATTTTGGAGAATGGGTTATGGATCTGTACCACTATCCAAGTATCCAGATATCCAGAGGTCTCTTTTCACTCTCTTTTTCTTAGCCTCCGCAACTATCAGATTACTGAATCCCCTTAACATTTTCCACCTCCCCCTGCCCCACAAATTCCTCCCCAACTTCTGCTGCCCTAGTTCAGGGTCTCATCACCTCTTGACTGGGATACCACAGCTTTATATCTCAGCTGATGGTGTTATGCTTAAATCCATCATCAGCAGAACCCCGGAGGTGATGATTTCTTTAAAAATGTAGACTTGAACTTGTCTCTCATCTGCTTAAAATCTTTTAATCACTTTCCATAGCCCCCAGGATAGGACCTATGGCCCTTAAAATGGTCCCACAGGATCTGACCCTTGGTTGACTATGGATTCTTTGTAAACCAAAATTTTATATTCCAGCAACAGCTTTCATTGTTTTTTTTTTTTTCCCTATGTGCTTTTCTTTTGTTACTCTCACTGCCGAGGGTATCTTCCCTTTTGTCTTTACCTCTATAACTCTTACTGGTTCTTAAGACCCAGCTGAGGTCTTGCCTCTTTTACGAAACTGCATCCCCCACCCAAACCCCTGCACCTCCATATGTACCTGAGCTGGGTGAGGTGTCCTATGCATACTTGTATCCTGTGCTTTACTTAAGTGATAAAATATAGTCTGTTTTTGCACCTGTCTGTGTACACACAGACACCCCCCTACATCCACACACACCTTTTAGATTTTTTGCAAAGCATGTAAAATTTCTCTTTCCTCTGTGGTTATTGTGGAATAAAAATATTGGAGTAAAAGTGGCACAGGAAGGGGACAGGCATTGGGCAGGCAGCATATTTTGACTTTGTACGGGCGGCAACCACAGAAATGCGGAGTAGGAAACTTGTTTCACTTAATTAGTCTGTTTAATTTAAATTGCTATTTCCATCTCATTCCTTTGAATTCCATGTTATTTTTGTGCCTTTTGATTCTGTTCCAAGATCTGGGTTTTACCACTTAAAAGTGAAAAGTTAACTTCGTGATTGAAAGGTCTTGCAGCTTTTGTTTCTCAATATTCTACAGTTAAGTACATTGCTTATTGGTGAGGAGTTTAAGGGGGCAGCTTTTACTTAAAGAATATAATTAGACTAGACAAAAAAAAAAAGAGGGGGGCAAAAGATTGCTAGAAGTCTTCCTTCTCCAAGTTCTGTTAGTTTTACCTCTTAAATAAATATTTCTCAAATCCATCTACTTTTCTCCATTTCCTATCACTACCATCTCCTCTTTCCTGGACTTTTCCAATGGCCTTCCTATTTGTCTATCTGAATTCTTTCTGGCTTCTTTCTAGTTGGTTCTGCACACTGCACCCAGAGTGATCTTTTCAAAATGTTTGGTCTTGTTACCCCCTGCTTAGAGTGCTTCATTGCCTTAGGATGAGGCAGACTCCTTAATATGGCCCGAAGGCCTGGCATGCTTTAGCTCCTGCCCAGCGCCACCCCTCTCTCATCATTACTCTGCTTTAGCTCTGCTAGCCATTTTTTATTGCCACGCTCCTCTTGCCTCTAAGTCTTTGCTGGTGTCAGTCTCCCTGCCTGCAACCATCTTTCCTCCTCTTTTGGCCTATTTAGCTAAAACTCATCCTTCTGATTCCAATTTGAGCTC